GAAACAGTGGTTAAAAACTGAAATGTGGGCCAGGCGCGGTGGTTCACGCCTGTAATCCCAGCATTTTGGGAGGCTGAGGCGGGCGGATCACCTGAGGTCAGGAGTTCGAGACCAGACTGGCCAACATGGCGAAACCTCATTTGTACTAAAAATACAAAAATTAGCTGGGCGTAGTGGCGCACGCCTGTAATCTCAGCTACTCGGGAGGCTGAGATAGGAGACTCGCTTGAACCCAGGAGGCGGAAGTTGTAGTGAGCCGAGATTGTGCCACTGTACTCCAGCCTGGCAACAGAGCAAGACTCCATCTTAAAAAAATAAGTGAGTGAAAATAAAAAATAAATTAGCTGGCGTGGTGGCGCGCCTGTAATCCTAGCTACTCGGGAGGCTGAGGCAGAAGAATCGCTTGAACCCGGGAGGCGGAGGTTGTAGTGAGCCCAGATCACGCCACTGCACTCTAGCCTGGGCGATATAGCGAGACTCCATCTCAAAAAAAGAAAACAACAACAAAAATCTTAAATGTGATATGAGAGAATAAACATCCTTCAGTGGCTAACTTTTTAAAATAGCCTTTGTATATATGTAGGCTAGTGTCTTTTAGTGTTTTATAATCATTGTTTTTCACTTAGGAATTATTTTGGCTTTTTTTTTTTTTCCTGGTACCTTTACGGGTAGCATGGAGGTCCAGGGTCCATCTGACTCCCTAGGTTCGAATCTCCCAAGGCCATTTCTTTACACACCATTATTGTTACTAATTTCCCTGTGGTTTTTCTCATTTTTAAATGAGAATATTGCTGCCAACTGGTCTTCTCACTATTGTGAGGATTAAATAAGCTGTTTGTTAAAGCTTTAAACTTTCAGTACACGTCAGCGTTCTTTAGCCATGATAGTGCAGAGGTTAAGAGCTAGCTCTACCTGGCATTGTGTACCAGGCACTTTCTAGCCTTGTGACATTGGGATGCTTGCTTCTCATGCTTCCCGTGCCTCACCTGTAAGTGGGGTATTAGCCACTGCGCAGAGAATGTTGTGAACATGCTTGCACAGTGCCTCTCATTAAGTGCCCAGTAAGTGTTATCTTTTGGGCTTTGAAAGAATATATTGAGGCCCTGTGCCTTAGATGCTACATAGGCAGTTGGGAGTCACTTGACCTTGGACAGGCAGGATAGGGCAATTTTAGATGGAGGTAGTTGAAACAATGTAAGTGTGAGGTGGTAAGGACCTAAGCTGAGGTGAATGAGAAAAAAGCAGTCAGGTGCAGGTTTCGTATTTCCTTAATAAGAAAGTAAGCAATTCTCTTGCAGGAGGTACAGCTGGGCACTGGTCTCATGATAGCATTGGTTTGGTCAGAACCCAATGCAATAAGCTTGTCAAGCCATGGGAATCAGTGAGAATTCTAAGCCCCAAACAGAAACAAATGAACTGGGTTTTTACAGGCAGTGCCTTCATCTATAATTGCTCTCAGAGTTATTTGGACTCATATTTTTAAGTCAAAGAGAATGCATGCTTGGAGCACATACTTGGGCCTGGCCTCCTGATCAAAGCTGTGGAATAATTTGGTTTTTAGTGTTATTAAATACTGACTGTCCCCTGCTTTCTGCACATGTTTAAAGGAAAAATGTCTAAAAAGCCCTAGCATGAAATATACGAGGCATTCACTCCCAGAGTGCTAAAATCGTAAAAGCCTTTATAATTTCAGCCAGACGTGGTGGCTCAGGCCTGTAATCCCATCACTTCGGGAGGCCGAGGCAGGCCTGGAGTTCGAGACCAGCCTGACCAACATGGAGAAACCCCATCTCTACTAAAAATACAAAAATTAGCTGGGCGTGGCGGCGCATGTCTGTAATCCCAGCTACTAGGGAGGCTGAGACAGGAGAATCACTTGAACCTGGGAGGCAGAGGTTGCGGTGAGCTGAGATCGTGCCATTGCACACCAGCCTGGGCAACAAGAGCGAAACTCCATCTCAAAAAAAAAAAAAAAAAACCCTTTTTACTCTCTGCTACTTTACTGTCTCCTGTGGGTCAAGACCAACCCCATCCCAGGGGATCCCAGGGTTGCCAGTAGTGACCCTGAAACAAAATCATCTCTTGCCTTGGGAAGACAGAAGGCCAAAGGTCAATCACTCTCCACAGGTAGGCTCCGGGTACCTGGTAAGGGGTAGTAGAAAGAAGAAATGTAGGCCGGGTGTGGTGGTTCATGCCTGTAATCCCAGCACTTTGAGAGGCCAAGGCAGGTGAATCACCTGAAGTCAGGAGTTCAAGACCAACCTGACCAACGTGGAGAAACCCTGTCTCTACTAAAAATACAAAATTAGCTGGACGTGGTGGTGCCTGCCTGTAATCCCAGCTACTCTGGAGGATGAGGCAGAAGAATCACTTGAACCTGGGGGGCAGAGGTTGCGGTGAGCCGAGATCGCGCCCCTGCACTCCAGCCTGGGCAACGAGAGCAAAACTCCATCTCAAAAAAAAAAGAAATGTAGGTCAGGCACAGTGACTCATGCCTGTAATCCCAGCACTTTGGGAGGCTGAGGTAGGCAGATCACTTGAGATCAGGAGTTCAAGACCAGCCTGGCCAACACGGTGAAACCCCATCTCTACTAAAAATACAAAAATTGGCTAGGCATGGTGGTGCACACCTATAATCCCAGCTACTCGGGAGGCTGAAGTGGGAGAATCGCTTGAGCCCAGGAGGTGGAGGTTGCAGTGAACAGAGATCGCATCACTGCACTCCAGCCTGGGCAACAAGAGTGAGACTCCGTCTCAAACAAAAAAAATGAATAAAATAAATAAATATGTATTTTCTCCTCTGTAGCATAGAAACATTTACTATCAACATCTTAGCATTTTGGGGAGTGGAAAATGAGATAATGTCTGAAAAAGTACCTACTGCCTCTAAACTAATAGCCATACAACAAAAAATTGGCTACCTTATAAATTTAGGTAGATATATGAGGCTCAATACAATTGAAGATTTAGATTTACTCAGTATACAGAATAAAGGCAGCATAATTTAGAATAAATTACTCATTTACCTAAGTTTTGTTATACTATATTGTTATAATTGTTCTATTAGGCCGGGCGTGGTGGCTCAAGCCTGTAATCCCAGCA